ATTTGGGAGGCTGGGGCAGAAGGATCGCTTGAGCCCAGGAGTTTTAGGCCGCAGTGAGCTTTGATGGCACCCTGCACTCAAGCCTGAGTGACAGATCTTTAAAAAAGAAAAAATAATAATTTTGTAAAATTTGTCTTGCATAGCACTACCTGGCTCCTGAGGTTCCCTCAGTTAAGTCAGGTGTGTATACTGACTTCCACCTATGGGTTTATTCCTACTCACACGCTGAGCCTGTTTTGCTATCTGGTGCCTGAGAAATATTGGTTAACATCAGGACCATTCTTCCTAGTGTTTCCAGACTCCATTCCTGCTTTCTGGCCATTCGTTTTTTCTTGGGGTCCAATCCTTGTTGTTTGCGCTCCTATTCTAGGTTCTGAGCTAGGATGGCCAACCATTCTGGTTTTCCCAGAACTGAACTACCTGGTTTCCCCAAATGCAAGACTTTATGTGCTAAAACTGTGACTGTCCCTGGCAAACTTGGCCTGGATGGTTGGTCACTTTAGATGTATCCTGCGGTTTTCACTTCCTCCCGTGTTGACCTCTTGACTGTCTAGTTTAGTGCTATCTCTGTGCTCACAAATTGTATTTACCTTGAACTTGTATTCATTGAGTGCCTATGATGTCAGAGGCTGTATGAAGCATTTTCATGTCATATCTCATTCAACAGTTAGACAGCTCTGCATGATTTCCTTTTACAGATGAGGAGGTTTTCATGTAGTTGGCCAGGATCACAAAATTAGTGACACAAAAGAATGAAACGCGGCCGGGCACAGTGGCTCACGCCTATAATCCCAGCACTTTGGGAGGCCGAGGTGGGTGGATCACGAGGTCAGGAGATCCAAACCATCCTGGCTAACACGGTGAAACCCCGTCTCTACTAAAAATACAAAAAATTAGCTGGGCATGGTGGCGGGCGCCTGTATTCCCAGCTACTCGGGAGGCTGAGGCAGGAGAATAGCGTGAACCCGAGAGGCGGAGCTTGCAGTGAGCCAAGATCGCGCCACTGCACTCTAGCCTGGGTGACAGAGCAAGACTCAGTCTCAAAAGAAAAAAAAAAAAAAGAATGAAACCCAAGCCTCCTGACTACACATTTTTTTATTTCCACCAAACTTGTCATCTTCCTGGCCCGAGTTGCATACTTGGAGCCTCCACTCTGTACTAACTGAATTTCTGGGTGAACTCCATTATGCCTTGCCTAACCTCTTGCTGTCCTTCATATATCTTTTTTTTTTTTTTTTTTTTTTTTTTTTTTGAGACAAGGTCTGGTTCTATCTATCGCCCAGGCTGGAGTGCAATGGCACAATCTCAGCTCACTGCAACCTCTGTACCCCTCTATCTACAAGGCTCAAGCTATCCTCCCGCCTCAACCTCCCAAGTTACTGGAACTATAGGCATAAGCCACAATGTCCGGCTAATTTTTGTATTTTTTGTAGAGATGGTGTTTTACCATATTGCCCAGGCTGGTCTCAAACTCCTAGGCTCAAGTGATCCACCCCTCAGCCTCCCAAAGTGCTGAGATTATAGGCGTGAGCCACCACACCCAGCCTATCCTTCACACATCTTTAACCTAATACGATAGTACTTGAAGTCAACATCTTCTATTGTAAAGCATAAATGACAAGTCATTTGTTATGCAATGGTATAAATATTTCCAATGTTTCATTAGGATAAGCACTAAGAAGAAAGATAAGCATGGATATAGTAGCACGGCACATCACACTGCCACATCAGATTGCATCCCTCCAGTTAACATGTCATGGCATGCAATGTGGAATCTTTGCATTTTAATGTATTCATTTCATCAATATTTCCTTTTTGGTAGTTTATTTAAGAAATCCTTCATTACGTTATTCTCCTTCAATTTCTCCAAATACCTAATTTAATTAATTTGTAGATTATGAATATAAAATATTATTTGTGGAATATTAGTTTCCCAAATATTAACAGAAATTAGGTGTGTATGTGGGATGGGAGGTGGGCCAATTAGTTTGGGAAACTAATATCTTTATTATAGAACTTCTCAGTCTCTATTTTGCTAATTTGCAGTGTGACTCTCCTACAGAGAGATACAGTGTGTAGCATTTTTCAAATGCTATGAATTTTTCAAATGACCATGACACCTTTTTCTTTTGTTGCATTGGTTTTGTTTCATAATTTCCCATGTGCCTTGGAACATCCCCTGGGAAATAGTGTTTTCATCTGTAACAGCACAATACCCTCCAGAGGGCAGCAGATTCCCTTGGCATATGGCCAATCGTCTATTCATTGAACAGATTGATGAGGGACCTGGAGCATGTTATATTATTATTCCAGTCAGGGATATAAAATTTCTAGTTTCTGTAACAGAGATAGGCATTAAAATTTAGCTCAAGGCTGATAATAAAATAAATTATTGGCACTGAGATATAATACCAAAAAAAATCCAATCATGTCTCTGATGGATTGCAATGGCATACATTGTACTGTAAAGTCTAGATCATGTCTTCTATTTTTCCTCTTAGCCTCAATCAAACAACAAATATTAGCTGAGTGCTCCATAAGGAATAAGATGAACTATTACCATTAGTTCATTTCCCAAGGAACCTACTAAGAGATCAGAGAGATAATTAGATAAGGCAACACATTAGTTCATTGGATTTCATTGGCTGCAAATCAGAATCATTGGGGGGCACTTTTAAATAATAATAATGCTCAAAACTCACCCAAGAATGTTAAATTTGAATCTTTGTGTTTGGTTCCAGGCATGAGACTTTTTTTTTTTTTAATTATACTTTAAGTTCTAGGGTACGTGTATACATGTGCCATGTTGGTTTGTTGCACCCATTAACTCATCATTTACATTAGGTATTTCTCCTAATGCTATCCCTCCCCCAACCCCCACCTCCCGACAGACACCGGTGTGTGATGTTCCCCTTCCTGTCTCCATGTGATCTCATTGTTCAGTTCCCACCTATGAGTGAGAACATGCGGTGTTTGGTTTTCTGTCCTTGTGACAGTTTGCTCAGAATGGTGGTTTCCAGCTTCATCCATGTCCCTACAAAGGACATGAACTCATCCTTTTTCATGGCTGCATAGTTTTCCATGGTGTATATGTGCCACATTTTCTTAATCCAGTCTGTCATTGATGGACATTTGGGTTGGTTCCAAGTCTTTGACATTGTGAATAGTGCTGCAATGAACATACGTGTGCATGTGTCTTTATAGTAGCATGATTTATAATCCTTTGGATATATACCCAATAATGGGATCGCTGGGTCAAATGGTATTTCTAGTTCTATATCCTTGAGGAATCACCACACTGTCTTCCACAATGGTTGAACTAGTTTACACTCCCACCAACAGTGTAAAAGTGTTCCTATTTCTCCATATCCTCTCCAGCACCTGTTGTTTCCTGACTTTTTAATGATCGCCATTCTGACTGGTGTGAGATGGTATCTCATTGTGGTTTTGATTTGCATTTCTCTGGTGGCCAGTGATGATGAGCATTTTTTCATGTGTCTGTTGGCTGCATAAATGTCTTCTTTTGAGAAGTGTCTTTTCCATATCCTTCCAGGCATGAGAGTTTAAAAACATGTTTTCAGGTGATTCTAATGAGTGGCCAGAGTTGAGACTATTGCGTTAAGAGGATAAAAAAGTATTTTTGGAAAGAGGTTTCTGACCTTTTCAAGCAGGTGGAGGAATTTAGAATTCTTTTCCGGGGGAGAATGTTTCAAATGTAGAAGAGCACAAAAAAGACAATAGTCATTCTTACATCCTCTGTCCAAAGTTAAATTTTGTTAACATCTTTATTCTTTCTTAGCCATCAGAATTGCAAACAACAAAATCATACAAAACCCACACCTTATAGTTCCTAAACTTAACTTTAGAAAACATTTCCTAGGAGAGCAAAAGACATCATTTTTTTAATCTCCAAAAATGCTTTATAGCTCACCCTAGTTAACAAATAGTCTGGCATATTCCAAATAGATCCACTGGGCCATGGACCTCATCTAACAAAGATGAATTCTGTTCATTTGCTCTGTGAATAGAGCTAAGGGGCTTATTTGTGCAAAGACTGACTGATGAGATGGAAGAAGAGAGAGCAAGACAGCAAGAAAATATTAGTGAATATATATCTTCCAATTGCAAAGAGATATGGAGCAAGCACCTGTCTAGATGGAAGGAATGAGAACTGTAGGCTATAGTTATGGATGGGAGGTTTTCTTTATGCAAAATTAACTAGCTTATAGTGGGAAGTGAGTGGATGGAAACGTGTCTCATTAACATCATGTTCGAACTTACCATAAGCTCAGTGAGGGTCAATAACCTGACAGGATGGCTGTTTTTAGGGCATCATAGGACTGAAGATGACTTCCTGACAACAGTTAAAAATCTTTGAACCAGAAGACAATTTTGAAAACAAAATACAAGCAGAAATATGTCCTCTGACAGCAGATAGGTATTTTAAGCAATGGATCTGATCTGTATTTTGCAAAAGGCTCTAGAAATTAAACCAAAAATGCTTCACTAGGTCTAATGAAGTATATCTTGAATGATCCAGAGGAAGATATTATTGTCATCCCTATTTAACAGATGAAGTATCTAAAATCAGAGAAACTGACTGATTTTCCCTAGACTACAGGCTAATAAGTAGCCAACTGAGATTTGAAAACAGACACACTGATTGGGTCCATAGTCTGTGTGCTTAACAACTGCATGGTACTGCCTCATAACTTACAGAAAAATAATTCACATTGCAATACAGAAAACCTATATATTTACACATTACATTTATTACCCATTCTAAAAATTTGGGATATTACTAGTAATCAACGGTGTCTATAATTTTAGTTGATACATATGCTTATACAGACATGATATCAATTATTATAATCAACACACAATTGGTATATAAAACAATGGTGCATCTTTGAAACAGTAAAATAAATCTCATAGGCACTTGCACTTGTTCTTTCTCTTAGGGAAATGTTTGTGAACTCAGAAACCCTTTTCTTTTCTAGGAAAAGTGATGAATTAATTACAAATTTCTGCAAATGGAAGTTCACTCATTTATTTGGCCACCAAATATTTTTTGAGTTTGGAGATCAAAGTAGTAGAGTCTCAACTCTGAAGAGTCAGACAGACCTGGGTGGAATCCTGGCCACACCATTTTCAAGCTATGTAACCTTGAAGAAATTCTGTAATCTCTCTAAACCTCAACAAAATGAAAGTGCTCACTGTCTTATATAGGTTTATTGTGACGATTTAATGCAATAATTCATTTAAGGGATAATACGTGTTTGGTGTATTAAAAATGCCATCTATTAGTATCGTTATTTAAAAACTTGTTAAATATCCCCATTTTGTTACAGTGTTCTAAGGTTTGTTAACAACCTTAGAACAATGAAATAAGGATATAATTTTGCCCTCATGAACTTATATCCTCATAGGAAAAGACACAATTATTATTGTATTCATGTGGTGATCACCAGGCAAGTCACTTAAGAGTTTGAAGACAAATAAGATGCCTTATCTAATGGTTAAAATCTTATTAAAGAAAATCTCTTTGAAGGTAGCTTATATTTTTATAAGATAAAGCATTTCTATTTGTGGTCTAGAAAAAGATTTAAAGTAGGTAATCCAAAACGATTTGTTGAATCAAATTGTACTGCATGTCTTTCCTTTCTAATTTGCTATGAGTTAGGAACCACAAGAAGCCTTTTCCAAACAGTTTTTTTAAAAAAAGTTTTGTGCTGGGCGCAGTGGTTCATGGCTGTAATCCCAGCACTTTGGGACACCGAGGCAGGTGGATCACTTGAACTTAGGAGTTTGAGACCAGTCTGGACAACATGGTGAGAATCGTCTCTAAAAAAAAATACAAAAATTAGCTGGGCGTGGTGGTGTACGTCTGTAGTCTCAGCTACTCAGAAGGCTGAGGTGGGAGGATCGCTTGAGCCCAGGAGTTGGAGGTTGCAGTGAACTGAGACTGTACCACTGCACTCCAGCCTGGGCAACAGAGACAAACTGTCTCAAATGAAAAAAAAAAAGTAAAGTAAGATAAAAATAAAAAATAGTTTTCCTTTAACAATCCTACTACAGAATCACAGGAAATTTTAAAATATCAAATATATAGCATCTACCTTCCAATTACATATTCAGATATTTTCACTTATTGCCATATGTGTTATCATCACATATTAACTGTTATCTTTTATCACTATTATAATTGTCTTTTATTACCAACCATATGCTGAGATGCCAAAAAATTCAACTTACCACATAAGGTGGATGAAATCCCGACGATCAATTCACAGTGATGGTTTACCTTACGCTAACAACCCTTTATGTAAGACGAGAACAAGAGACAGTGAAGTGGTTTAATGGCTCAGTTTCTGCAGATCAGTGAGAACTGGAAGAGTCGTGGTGGTTGACTCTCACCCTATTGGCTAAAGAGTGGCTGGGTCAGGGGAAGTTTTCTGGTCCTAACATAAGGCCATGATCCACCTATGAAATGCTCCTGGCTTCAGTTTCCTTATTTGAAAATTAAGCATAAAGTATCGTTTTGTGAACACATAAGTAATATAGACTGATTTCTGAATATTTGGAAAACACAGACAAACATAAAAGTAAAAGTAGTCTATAATCTTATCACCCACAGAAAACCATTATTAACATTTTGACATATTTCTCTTTAGAAAGAGGAAAAGAGAAAGGCAGGAAAACACACATATATACAAATTAGGAATGGGCTATAACCAGATGTACAGATGAAATCAACAAGTAGGAGAATACTTATTATTACTTTAAAAAATAAATTACAAGATATAAATGATTTTGGGAAAAGTATAAATTACCACAACAGCAGGAAACATGAATATATCTATAATTATGAACAAAAAACCCTGAAATCATTTGCAGAAATTTTCTTCCATGAGGTAGATATCATTGTAATTCCCCTTTTACAGAATGGGGAAACTTGAAAAGCTACATATCAAGTCATTGGCAGAGGTAGGACTTGTCAGTCATTTTCATGATCATAATCACCATTCTCTAAGTAGATCTGGCCTCCAACAAGAATAAGCTCATATGACAATAGGGAAGTCATTTAATAATCAGTAACCCAGGACCTACTATGTGCTAGGTGCTCTTCTGGGTACAAAAAATACAATGGTGGGCTGGGCGTGGTGGCTCACACCTGTAATCCCAGCACTTTGGGAGGCCGTGGCGGGTGGATCACGAAGTCAGGAGTTCGAGACCAGCCTGACCAACATGGTGAAACCCCGTCTCTACTAAAAATACAAAAATTAGCCAGGCATAGTGGCACACACCTGTAATGCCAGCTACTCAGGAGGCTGAGGCAGGAGAATTGCTTGAACCCGGGAGGCAGAGGTTGCAGTGAGCCGAGATCACACCACTGCACTCCAGCCTGGGCGACAGAGCAAGATTCTGTCTCAAAAAAAAGAAAAGAGAAAAAAAAAAGAAAGAAAAGAAAAGAAAAGAAATGCAGTGGTGAATAAGGTATAGTTCCTGTGTTCAAGGAGCTTCTAATTGAGTCAAGACAAATAATTCGACAAACTATACAGCAACATGTGAATGGTTATAACAGGTAGAAACAAGTGTTGTCAGAATCCAGAGGAAGAAGTGATGCCATGGGTGACAGGGAAGGGTTCCTACTGAAGGTACGATTTGGGCCAGCTCTCGAAGGGCAGGTGGGGAAGAGAGAGAAAGGCATTCCATGCAGAGGAAGCAGCATGTGTGAAAGCCACATGCCATAGATAATCTATACGTTCGTTGACTTCTTCACTACTTCTCTCTTTAAGAACAGTGCAAGGGGACATTACGCTGCATTTGACCAAAGGCAGTCATTCTTGGCAGCGTCCTTTCCTTCTTCCATCATGACAAAACTGCTGTTAGGTCACATTAAAATAGTAGCAGTCTTTGGCAGAAACCTACTGTATGCTTCCTTAATGAGTTGTCAGAGGTTCTGCAGTGCCATTTGTCTTCTAAGCTAGTTTTTATGAAGGCTGTCAGTAAAGGGTAAAGATGGGGATACGCAATATATTCACCAGTCAGCGGGGGGCTGAGAATCTGTTCATTCAGAATCAGCAGGGGACCGTGGGAAAATGTCTATTCTTTAAGCATGCCTCCGAAGGACTACCATTCAAAAGACGGGGTGAGGTTTGTAAGAAGCTAAGAAAGTCTTCCTCTAATTTAAACTCCCAGGAGTCTCTGCAGGCCCTCTGTCTGCTTACAGACAGGGAATGAAATAAAGCCTAGCAGACCTTCTACCACCAGAATGATCTTAATTTTGACCACTCACCAAAACATAATTCAGAGATCAACAGATGAATCTGATACTATCCAGAAGGTCATGTGTATGGGTAATTAAGTTGACAGTCACAGATCTCAAAATAATTCCCACTCAGGCTGCAACATAGGAATTTCACTGTCTCACTGAGGCTATGAACTATATGTAGCATTAAGAATTGAGGTGTTTGTTTTGTTTTGTTTTGTTGTTTGTTTTTTCCTGAAGTTCTTACAGTTTGGGTTAGAAGAGCTAAGGAGTAAAGTTTGGAGGCAGACAGATCCTGGCTCTGTGACTTGTTCTCTGTGAAAACTTGAGCAAGTTACTTAGGAATTCTAGCTAATAATACCTGTTTCATAGAGTGGCTGTAAGGATTAAATGAGATAATGAATGTAAAGCATTGGCACAGAAGTGCTTAATAAATGGCAATCATCATGATGAATATTATTTTTCTGTATATCCAAGAGCAGTCTAGACTTTCTCTAAAACAGAATATATACCTATAGGGAGATGAAAACTTTTATTAAATATAAATAATTATGGATAAATGAATAAGTAAAATATTTTATACCAGCATATTTTGTCTTCTGTACTATCCATAATCATCTAGCCTACTTTCTATAATCAGGTCATCAGGCAGAAAGCTGAACCAGTTTTCATTTATCTTCTTAGTCTATCACACTTCTACTTGCTCTACTCTACTTTGAAATCAAGTATAAGTATTAGCATGCTTGCAAAATCTCACTTTACAGTGTATGGTTTTAAAATAATTATATTGCACCATCTCACGTCCTCAACATGTGTGGGAAACTGCTGAAAGCTTTACCTACAAAAAGACTTCATTGTTACTTAAACTGAAAAGCTAGCCTGCCCTTTATTTGGACTATTTGTATAAACTACTTGTATAATTGAAAGCATAGTCACAAATCAAAGGATATTCTTTATTTTAATCTTCATTCTTTTCAGTTATTAATTTAAACTATAAGAAAATAATACCATCTTGGTCAGGCACAGTGACTCACGCCTGTAATCCCAGCACTTTGGGAGGCCAAGATGGGTGGAACACTTGAGGTCAGGAGTTTAAGACCAAACTGGCCAACATGGTAAAACCCTGTCTCAACTAAAAATACAAAAATTAGCCAGGCATGGTCGTGCGCGCCTGTAATCCAGCTACTAGAGAGGCTGAGGCACGAGAATCACTAGAACCCAGGAGGTGGAGGTTGCAGTGAGCCGAGACCACACCTCTGCACTCCAGCCTGGGTGACAGAGCAAGACTCTGTCAAAAAGAGAAAGAGAGAAAGAGAGGAAGGAAGGAAGGAAGGAAGGAAGGAAGGAAGGAAGGAAGGAAGGAAGGAAGGAAGGAAGGAAAAAAAATAATACTATCTTAAAGTTGGAAAGATCCCTAAGACTATCTCTCAATTCCTGAATTTGACTAATGCAAAACTAAGGCCTGATTAGGTCAAGGGACTTATGCAAATATCAGTGGAACCAAGTTTAATATTTTAAAATTTTTGTCTTCTGTATTGCAGCAGCTATACCTAATATATCCGGATAATTGCTAGAAATAAATAATGGAAGTAATTTTGCATGGAATAAACCCGACTTTTTCTATCTTAATTGGTATTCATATCTAAGGACAAATATCAGCTATTTGGAACATGGTGAATAACGTTATGAATAACGTTAAGTGCCTCATTTCTTAAGATAATAATGGATCACATTATTTCTATGATGCATGGAAAAATGTTCTCTAGTACCTTAAAAGCTAAAGTACTACTCAGGAATCTTCATTTTAGGCATTGGATAGAATTGGATGCAGAATCATATCTGGCTTTGGGAAATTTCATGTTACCTTGCATGCAATTAATACATCCCTCAAATATTTGCCTATATTGTCTTGTTCACTGTAACTACAGCATATATTGGTACAACAAGATGAAAGAAAATAATAATTCTTAACAGAAGATACTCTTTCTGTATGAGAATAACACAGAATTGCTATTTTTCTGCAAGTCAGTTGATGCCACTCTATAAAACATGCAGTAATTATGATAAACTTCTTAACCTTATACTTCAGCAATTTTTTAGCCATACACATTCAGTCATGCATGTAAAGCTGTCATTTCCAATCTAGACTATTTCTGATTAGTCTTAGGTCTTCTGCAGCAATGCCAATCAGAGTAATTATGTTATCACTGTTCTGACAATTAAATGCTCTATTTGTTTACTACTGAAAGCACAATTGATCTGGTACATAGTTAAGTTACAAATAGTTCTGTGTCTGATATTAATGAATGCCCATAATGCATTTTTCCCAAGTTATTTCTTCAAAGTTAAAATGGCACAACTTACAATAGAAATTCTTCCCCTTAAAATCAATGGTTCTCAACTATGGATAACTTCGCCTCCCAGGGGACATTTGGCAATGTCCAGAGACATTTTTGATTTTCAGGACGGGGTGGGGGTGGGAGAGGGTGGAGATGCTGTTGGCATCTAATGAGTAGAGGCCAAGGATGCTGCTAAATACCCTACAGTGTACAGGACAGATCCTAACACCACTCCAACAAGAATTATTCAGTCCAAAATGTCAATAGTTAAAAAGTTCTAGAGGCAGATAGTGGTGATGGTTGCACAATAATGTCACTACTTAATGTTACTGAACTGTATACTTAAAATGATTAAAATGGTAAGTTTTACATTATGTATATTTTTACCACAATAAAAATAAATAAATAGTGCTGAGATTGTGAGCTTTAAACCATTGAGAGTCCTTGTGTAATGAAAGTATTTCAGTACTGCTAGGGAAACCAAAAGGTACTCTGTACCTGGTAAAATGACATTCACAAAGCAAACAACCTTACTTTTTTCTTGTAAATCACATTTTGTTTTCCTTGATTGGCTTCCAAATTTCTTTCAGGCACTAGTCAATGATCCTAAACAATAGTTTCCTTCCCTGAATGCATACATAAATGAAAACAAAAACTATAATTAGGGTCTTTTTTTTTTTTGGCTTAAGCTAACTTAGATTTCTGTTATACGCAACCAAAACTCTTGACAAGTAGGATGAAGCAGCAAAGAAACGTGGACAAACAAATTTTGTTTCACAGAAAATAAGAAAACTTAAAAGTCACATGGGTTGCATGGAAAGGAAAGAAGAACAAAACAATAAGAAGCAACGTGCTGCTAACAAGAGCATGAAGAGAGCAGGAAAGATACTGTATTAGTCAGGGTTCTCTCGAGGGACAGAACTAATAGGATAGATGTACATATAAAGAGGAGTTTATTAAGGAGTATTAACTCACACAATCACAAGGTGAGGTCCCACAATAGGCTGTCTGCAAACTGAGAAGCAAGGAAGCCAGTCCAAGTCCCAAAGCTGAAGACAATGTTCAAGGACAGCAAGCATCCAGCATGGGAGAAAGATGCAGGCTGGAGGACTAAGGCAGTTCTAGTCTTTCCATGTTTTTCTGTCTGCTTTTATTCTGGCTGTGCTGACAGCTGATAGATGGAGCCCACCCAGATTGAGGGTGGGTCTGCCTTTCCCAGTCTAATAACTCAAATTTAATCTCCTATGGCAACACTCTCGCAGACACACCCAGGAACAATACTTTGCATCCTTCAATCCAATCAAGTTGACACTCAATATTAACCATCACAGATGTGTTCACTTTTTCTGGTTTTAGTCACAAAGAAAGATGCAAGTGCACACTCAACAATGTTCTACGAATAAGATCTATCTAGTGCTACCTCATCCTAAGCTTCTTCAGATCCACCATCTCCCTACTTTATAATAATCCCACTTGTGTCCACAGTTAGAGCCAGCAATAATTAGTCACTTCACTGAAGTCGTTTAACTTCCTGTTTTTATCAGTAACTTTTCTTCCCCAGTTTAGTCAATGGTAATTAAAATACTTCTACTGGAACCGCACGTATGATTAATAACTCTTACTGAAGCTGAATTAGAGCATATCAGTCAAACCATCACCCTTCAAAAGTTTGGATATAATACAAATGAAAATGAAGCTCTAAAATTGGAATGCAATGACTAAAATCAACGGTCCCTTCTCACTTATAGCCACATCATAAAAATAAGTATTTTGCACAACTTCTACTAAAACTACCTTTTCTTGGTTCTGTAATGACAAACTGAAAAAAAAAGGAGGTTGTCAATCTGTTAAAACAAGAGTTTTTAGTCATCTGTGTAGAAAAATCCTTGTCACAACACTGTAAGAATTTTAATACACAAAAGAGATAGGGAGAAGAATATATAGTAAAATATTTTAATGACATCAGGTGTAGAAAAATTTAAAGAAAACAAAAAGTAGAAACTATAAAAGAAAATTAAGGCATCAGAAACATTAAAATTAAAACTTTCTGTATGGCAGAGACCCTACTGCCTTAGTCTGGGACACTGTTTCTCAGAAGCACACAAGCAGCATCTGGAGAGCTTTGAAAAGTACTAATCCTAGGTTATACCTCCCAAAATCCTGATTTTAAGTGGTTGAAGGTACAGCCAAGGTACTTAGAGTTTTAAAAGCTCCCCAAGTGAGTCTAATGTACAGCCGATGTTGAGAACCATTAGTCTAGGAAAAGAAAGTTATAATAATCTACAAAGTATTTTTTATCCAGAATTATAAAGTCTTATAGGTCAATGAGAAAAATTCAAAGAACTCAATATAAAAATGAGCAAGATTTGAATACGCAATCAACTGAAGAGAAAACTCAGACCAATAAACAAACAAAACAAGACTCAATTTTCTAGTAGTCAGGAAAATCAAAAAATCCAAATTAAAACAAGATACCAATTCACACTAAGCAGACTGGCAAAATTAAAACGTCTGTAAGTACCAAAGACTGGTAAGGGTATCAAGCAACAAGAACTCTCAAAGGTGCTGGTGGGGGTATAAACTGGTATAAACTGGTGCAACCCTATGACAGTTAATTTCTTTTTTTTCTTTTTTTTTTTTTGAGATGGAGTCTCGCTCTGTCACCCAGGCAGGAGTGCAGTGGCACGATCTCGGCTCACTGCAACCCTTGCCTCCCAGGTTCAAGTGATTCTCCTGCCTCAGCCTCCCGAGTAGCTGGGATTATAGGTGCCCACCACTACACCTGGCTAATTTTTGGAATTTTGGTAGAGATGAGTTTCTGCCATGTCGGCCAGGCTGGTCTCAAACTCCTGACCTCAAGAGATCCACTTGCCTCAGACTCCCAAAATGCTGGGATTACAGGTATGAGCCATTATGCCCGGCAATTATAGGTAATTTTATGTGTCCGCTTGGTTAAGCTGAGATGCCCAGTTGTTCGGTCAAATATGAGTCTAAACGTTGTTGCAAATGTACTTTTTTAGATGTGATTAACATTTAAATCAATGGACGTTGAGAAAAGTCGATTACCCTCCATAATGTGGGTGGGCCTCTTCCAATCAGTTGAGGGGCTTATGAGCAAAGACTCAAGAAAGAATAATTTTTCTCAAGAATCCAACATCGAAGCTCTGCCTGAGTTTCCCATTTGCTGGACCACCTTGCAGGTTTCAAACTCAAGACTACAACAGCAACTCTTACCTGAATCTCCAGCCTGCTGACCCACCCCACCACACATACAATCATGTGAGCCAATTCTATAAAATAATCTATATCAATATCCATATTTACATCTATAGACATATTCATACCCATGTCTATATATCTCTATCCTCTTGATTCTGTTTCTCTGGAGAACCCTGATTAATATAAACTAACTTTAAAGAACAATTCAGCAATATCTAGAAAAGTTGAAGATGGGTATAGTCAATTTCAACTCGAGGTATATAGCCTGTAGTCCTTCTCAAAGGGACAGTTGGGAAATGGGATGTGGATGTGGAACTTCTATATCTTTTTTGTAATTTGGGGGTAAGGGGGCAAAGCAAATATGGCAAAACGTTACAGCGTTTTAAAACAGGGATGGAGTATGTTTTACATTGTCATACTATTTTTGGCATTTTTGTGCAGTTTGGAATACTCCATAATTTAAATGAAAGCTATTTAAAAGCAACTTGTATTAAACATGGTGTTAATGGAAGTGGCCCCAACCAGTAAGCCAAACCCATGTAATCAAGGTCAAAGTGACAGAGAGCATACCCAGCAGAGGGCAGGAATGGAAGAGGAATGTATTGCAGTGGAAAGCAAGTAACACTCAAGAGAGCCCAAAGGCTTCTCAAAGTCCCTTAATGAACAAAAATTTCCTTTGACTTCTAAGATGGTTAGCTCATCATTAACTATCCAGGGGAAGAATGGAAATCTGGCAGACATGATACCTTCAGGACATCACTGATGACACTAACCTTCATGATTAAGGCAATGGCTTCCAGGTTTCTCCACTGTCAAGTTACTGTCTTCCTCTTTTCCTGGGAAAGATTTTAAATATGATCATATTTAAAAATAATTTATTGAAAATAATTAAATAAATGAATGTGCTATCCAATCAGAAGGACACTTGGATTTAAAAATAATTTATTGAAAATAATTAAATAAATGAACTTGTTATCCAATCAGAAGAACACTTGGATGATTATTGCATTGCAGTGGGTTTTATCAGAAGTTGAAAGAAGATGGCACCCAGCAAGAAAAACCATACAAGGAATGGAGTGGGATGAAGGTAGAAAAAAATAAGCAAACGATGTTGCCCATTTCTCTTCTGTTCATTGCTTTTCTACTCCCCTTCCTTTCTTGGTCTTGAAAGTCTTTTTTCTTCCTCTTGTTAACTGGCTCCTGCTAGGTCCAGGTAGGAAGGAACCATGTCTCCATTTGTTAATCATTGTATTCCCAGAGCTTATAATAAGTCAGTGATAAATGGATACTTACTGAAGAATGGGAAAGAAAGAGGAGAGAAGTGATAGAAAGGGAAAGAAGAAACAGTAAGATAAAAGATGGGAGAAAGGAAGGAACTTACTGATCATACCAGATTATTAATGTATTTCTTAACATTTATTTTATTTATGTTCCATGACCTCAATAATATTAGGCTATATTGATTTAGGATACTTTCTCTAAGTTTTTTTTCTAAAATTAGATTGTTTTCTTACTTGATGTTGCCCCATATTTACATTTTTTTTCTATTGAGCATTGCCCTGAATAAATAGAAGATTTACTGTCAGTTTCAACCTAAAGCAATTAATTTTAAACGGTGAATTTTCTAGCTTTCTATGAAATGAATGGAAGATACCATTTCTAGTAAGCAAAACTTTTGGCTACCCTCAAAATATGTATTATTTTATATTAGATCATGATATTCTTCTTTGCCCCTATATTGGTCCCTTCTCTGGTGATGAACCAGTAAGAAAATTATCAGAATAAAAACCATAAGAGCCATGTTACTATATTTACTGAATCACAAGACCTCAAGATTGAAAGAAACCTTCAGAATCTTTTTACCCATCAGACACTTGCATCACCTCTACATCCCAATAAGTGTTTTCTCCTTAAAATGGCAAGGGATATATATATTATATATATATTATATTCCTCTATATGTATATTGTTCGTATTTATCAAAGATATATTCCTCTCTAAGTAGGACCTGGCCTGGCCAAAATACTTCAAAGGTAATCTGACTGGTACACAATCTAGTAGGATTACCAATCCCTTTTTTTACTCATTCATTAAAAATAGAATCATTGTGTATGAGGTACATGGCATTTATTTAGGTACTGGATATCCAGCAGTGAATTAAAAAGCCAATTCTTTCATATATATCAAGGAAGAGACATGGAGGAATATATATATATACACACACACATATATACACATACATATATTCCTCCATTTCTCTTCCTTGATATATGTGAAAGAACTGGCTTTTTAATTCACTGCTGGATATCCACTACCTAAACAAATGCCATGTATGTGTATATATGTGTATATACGTATGTGTATTATGTATATGTACACATATGTATGTGTATATATGTGTGTGTGTGTGTGTATATATATATAGAGAGAGAGAAGAAGCCTATTCAATTCTTAATGCAGCTCTAAATGAGAACAAGCTCTTTCTTAGGCTGAGCAAAATTCAACAATTTCCATCCTGTGGTACAGGTTATAAGCCTGAATATTTTTCATATGAAAGGCTTTTTAATGTTTTAAGAGAGTTGAATATTTTAAGATAGACAAGCTTTCCTATCCCTAACTTCCTTCTCTTTTCCAAACCAAACAGAGTTTCTTCAATCATTCTGCCCAGGACACACTTAAAAGACCACGTGTCAGTGTGTCAATATTCCTCTCCAAGTAGGACCTGGTCTGACCGGAATACTTCAGAGGTGATCTGACTGGTACGTAATATAGCAGGATTATCAATCCCTTTGTTTTACTTATTCATTAAAAATAGAATTATTGATTATGATGTACATGGCATTTGCTTAGGCACTGGATATCCAGCAATGAAGTAAAAAGCCAATTCTTGACTTCATAGACCTTATATTTTAGTGAAGGCAAACATATAATAATTAAAATAAATAAGAAATTGGCCAGATGTAGTGGCTTATGCCTGTAATCCCAGCACTTTGGAAGTCCAAGGTAGGTGGATCACCTGAGGTCAGGAGTTTGAGAATGGCCTGGCCAACATGGTGAAAGCCCATCTGTACTAAAAATACAAAAAGAAATTAGCCAGGCCTGGTGGTGCATGCTTGTAATTCCAGCTACTCCAGAGGCTGAGGCAAGAGAATCGCTTGAGCCCCAGAGGCAGAGGTTGCAGTGAGGTGAGATGGTGCCACTGCACTCCAGCCTGGGTGAGAGAGAGACTCCGTCTCAAAAAATAATAATTATTATAATAAATATATACATTATAGGATACATGAACAGGAAATAAGCTTTACAGGAAAAAATGCAGCAAAGAGGCTCTAGTTTGGGGAAGGAGGATGCTGAATGACTTGTGTTAGCCTCTCAAGATGCGTTCCTTGTCCTTCTCTGTCTCGCTCTGTCCCAGGAGGTTAGTCTATGGACTCTATCAGTGGAATTCCTTGACCTCTGACTTCCAGCCCTTTAATTTTGGAATACCTTAAAGGCCTTAATTAAACATGTCCTATGATCAAACAATCTTATTTTTAAGACTTTAGCCTAAGAACACAATCAAAGAGGTACATACAAATGAATATGAATAGGGAGGTTCATGGCACCATTACAATTACAAAAAAGTCATAACCAGGTTGAACGTCCAACAATAGGTTAAATAAATTATAGTAGAACATGAGATGGAATATCATGCAGCTATTAAAAATCTTGTTGTAAAATAATGTATATTGACATGTGAAAATGTTCATGATACATTGCTAAGTGAGAAGAAGAGGAAAGAGTGATGATGATGAGTATCAGGTGATATAACAAGGACTCTCAGGCTTTTGTTTCTGTTGCAACTATACATTTTGATGATATCAAGGATGCCTTTTAAAAGTTAGAAAATACTCTTTGCAAATTCCTAATGATTTCTTCCACATTCTTTTTTTTTTCTGGGATTTTTAAAAATTTTACTTTAAGTTCTGGGATATATGTGCAGTGCATTCTTGTTTACACGAGCAGCTTTCTTAGCAAGATTTTCTTTTCAGAGAACAATGATAAATTCAGCTCTAATGGAATTCCCATAAATTCCAAATTAGTCATGTTTATATGAATGCAGATTTATTATAATCCAGAATGAAATGATTAAGAACAGAATATTCTCTTTTCCCCACAAATAGACCACAAATGTATCAAATTATCTATGAAAACATAATCTTCTTTATCTCATATGAATTCCTATTATTTGTCATGGAGTAAGGCCTTACTCAGTATTTGCTCATGTATTATTTAATTAAAATGACTCATGAAACAAGTGTGTCACTATGCTGGCTTGCCTATTGTCCATATTCACATATTTGAGGGTATCCTTATTCCTGCCTGGAAAAGGCATATGCTGCCTTGGGCACTGTTCCAGTTAATCTCTTCAAACCGTGTATTAATGAGCATTCATGAATGTAATTAAGTAGCAAACGGACTTCGAACAGTAGTAGGGAAACAATCTTGAATTCTTCACTCGGAAACTACTTCAAACGTTATGTTCAAATAAAAAGAGGATCTTCGCTACCTACTTCATCCTGTCTGCTTAGGGAAGGCTAGACATCTGTCCTGTTCTTATTTGCATAGGTGAAGATATTTGGTTTAAAATCCACATTCTATACATTTCCTCTCCCCATCTCATCTCACTTTCATCTTCTTGCCCAGCAGGAGAGAGTTAACTCAGCCAGAAACGTGGGTAAATACTGGAAACTTACTCAGATGCAGAAGGGACTGTGGCTCAGGATGTTATAATGTTCAGAAAGCAGGGAATGTGTTGGCTTGAGTTAATGCCAGCTTCCTTGTTTACTGTTGAAGTGTGCTTAAAAGATAAGTCTTTGGAGTGTACATGTGTGCAACCTGAGACAGAGAGAGAGAGAGAGAGAGAGCACAGAGGGAGGAGAGGGAAAGGAGAGGGAGGAGAGAGGGGAAAGGGGAGAGAGGAGAGAGAGAGGGAGGAGAGAGAGGGAGCAGGGAGGGTGGAGAGAGAAAGAGGGAGAGAAGGGTGAGAGAAGGAGAGAGGGATGAGAGGGAAAGAGGGATAGATGGAGGAGAGAGAGAGGAAGAGAGGGAGGAGAGAGAGGGGGAGAGGGAGGAGAGAGGGAAAGAGGAATAAACACAGGAGAGACAGAGGGAGGAGAGAGCGTGGAGAGAGGGAGAAGAGAGAGAGGGAAAGAGAGAGAGAGGGATGAGAGCAGGAGAGAGAAATGAGAGAGGAAGAGAGGGATAAGAGAGGGAGAGAGGAAGGAAGAGAGGGAGGAGAGAAGGAAAAAGGGAGAGGAGGAGGACAGAGAGAGGGAGAGAGGGTGGAGAGGGAGAGAAGGTGGAGAGAGGGAGGAGAGAGAGAGGAAGAGAGGAAGGAGAGAAAGAAAGAGGGAGAGAGGGAGGAGAGAGAGAAAGAGGGAAAGAGGGATGAGAGAGGGAAGAAAGAGGGAGAGAGGCAGGGAGAGAGGGAGAGACAGAAGAGGGAGGAGGGAGGAGAGAGGGAGAGACGGAGGAGGGAGGAGAGTGGGAGAGAGGGAGAGAGGGAGAGGTGTAGTGGCTCAGGCTTGCAATCCCAGCACTTTGGGAGGCTGAGGCAAGAGGACTGCTTAAGCCAAGGAGTTCAAGACCAGTCTAGGCAATGTAACGAGACCCCTGTCTTTATAAAATGTTTTAAAATGTGTGTGATGGATGTAGTTCCAGCTACTTGGGAGACTGAGATGGGAGAGTTGCTTGGGCCTGGGAGCTTGAGGCTGCAGTGAGCTGTGATCACACCACTGCTCTCTAGCCTGTGTGACAGAGTGGGACACTATCTTAAAAAAAAAAAAAAAAAAAAAAAAAAGGCCAGGGGGTTGAAGGGGAGGAGGTTTGAGGAAAAGACCATTATGACACATATGGTCAACTTTTGCAAGATTCTGAAATTCTGCTGGATGATTTTGATTACAACAGAATGGTTAATATTAATTGTGTATGTAGCCCTGTTATCGGTGGAGAACCCGTATCCATCCGGGTCTACAGCAACCTCAATTCTTGACTCCTCAGGAGAAACAATTTGAGGGGCAGAAGGAGAGACCGAGACAAGTTTTAGAGCAGGTATGAAAGTTTATTCAAAAGCTTTAGAGCAGGAAGGAAAGGAAGGAAAGTACACTTGACAGAGAGCCAAGCGGGCAATTTGAAAGACGAGCATGGTTTGAACTTTTGACTTGAGGTTTCATACCTTGGCACACTTCCGAGGTCTTGCGTTGGTTCTCCTGCTCATCCAACGCTGAGATCTGATCCAGAAGCGGCTGCTCACCAGTTTCAGGTGTTTTCTATCTGTTAAGAGACTGTCTTTCCCTGGTGCCAGCTGTGACCAATTATTACTGTAGCAAAACAGTTAACAACTGCCTGACCATCACAGGGTGGTTGCCCCACACACCTAGTGTGTGTGTAGTGGGGGAGCCCTCTCCTGTCCTGCTCGTACCCGACTATAGCACAAGATATTGTTTAGACTATTATTATTCTAATATTACCAATTCTAACTTTAAAAATGAATACATTTCCACCACCTCTTAAAGGAAAGATTCACTGGCTAATCTCAGATAAATATATTCTTTTTTTTTTTCTTTTTGAGATGGAGTCTTGCTCTGTCACTCAGGCTGGAGTGCAGTGGCGTGATCATGGCTCACTGCAAACTCCACTTCCTGGGTTCAAGCCATTCTCCTGCCTCAGCCTCCTGGGTAGCTGGGATTATAGGTGTACATCACCATGCCCAGCTAATTTTTGTATTTTTAGTAGAGATGGGGTTTCACCATGTTGGCCAGGCTGGTCTCAAACTCCTAACCTCGTGATCCGCCTGCCTCAGCCTCCCAAAGTGTTGGGATTACATGTGTGAGCCACTGTGCCCAGCCAGATGAATATATTCTTTTTTTTTTTTTTTTTTTTTTTTTTTTGAGATGCAGTCTCGCTCTGTCGCCCAGGCTGGAGTGCAGTGGCCGGATCTCAGCTCACTGCAAGCTCCGCCTCCCGGGTTTGCGCCATTCTCCTGCCTCAGCCTCCCGAGTAGCTGGGACTACAGGCGCCCGCCACCTCGCCTGGCTAGTTTTTTTGTATTTTTTTAGTAGAGACGGGGTTTCACCGTGTTAGCCAGGATGGTCTCGATCTCCTGACCTCGTGATCCGCCCGTCTCGGCCTCCCAAAGTGCTGGGATTACAGGCTTGAGCCACCGCGCCCGGCCCAGATGAATATATTCTTGAGTGAACATTCACATGTTTAAATTAGTGTGTATGAAAGTGACTTCAGGGTCATGGTGACCATATTCTGTAAATCCCTTGTATGGAACATAATTGTGAACAAATAGTTATGGACATAAGCATTCATAAATGTTAAAAAGCTAAAGCTGAGTTAAAAAATAATCTCCCTATTATCAATGGCACACTTTCTAATGGCAAAATTTTTAAAAATGAAAAACCCAAGAAATTATAAAGAAAATTTAACCATCCCAAATTCCATAACCTAAAAATAACAACTAATACTATTTTGGTGTTTCTTTTTAGTCTGTTTTATATTTTATTTGACATTATTAATATTTATTTACATATTTTGATGCCTTGTATTTTTCCATGTCATTAGAATGCTTGTAAATGTTATTTTAAATTATTGTATTACTTTTGTTTTTTTTTTTTTTTTTTGAGGTGGAGTTTCGCTCTTGTTGCCCAGGCTGGAGTAAAATGGTGTGATCTAGGCTCACTGCAACCTCTGCCTCTCAGGTTCAAGCGATTCTCCTGCCTTAGCCTCCCGAGTAGCTGGGATTACAGGTGCCCGCTATCATGCCCAGCTAATTTTTTTTGTATTTTTAGTAGAGACAGGGTTTCACTATGTTGGCCAGGCTGGTCTTGAACTCCTGACCTCAGGTGATCCACTCACCTCAGCCTCCCAAAGTGCTGGGATTACAGGTGTGAGCCATGATGCCTAGCCTGTATTACATTTTATCATATGAAAAAATTGTTGCCAATGGAAGTATTATTTAGCCACTTAACTAGTATTGACCATGAACATCTTTGGACATGTCCATAGTTTTAAAATAGAATAAACTGACCAGATGCGGTGACTTGTGCCTGCAATCCTAGCACTTTGGGACGCTGAGGCAAGCAGATCATGTGAGTCTAGTAGTCTGGGACCAACCTGGGCAACATGGCAAATCTCTGTCTCTACAAAAAATACAAAAATTAGCTGGGTATGGTGGCGTGTGCCTGTAGTTTCAGTTACTTGGGAGGCTGAGGTAGAAGGATCACCTGAGCCTGGGAGTTCAAGGCTGGAGTGAGCCGTGATAGTGCACTGCAATCCAGCCTGGGTGACAGAGCGAGGCTCTGTCTCAAAATAAATCAAAATATTGCTTCTCGGCCTTTTGGCTAAGATCAAGTGTAAAATAAAATAAAATAATAGAAGAAACTAAGATATAGGGAGGCTAAATACTTCGTACAAGATGGTAAAGTATAAACTAGTTTGTTTGGAAGCTATTTTTCAATATATAGAATAACAGATGCTAAAGATAAAAGAGGTCACCAAGTTCAACCTTTGCATTTTTTTTCAGTTGAGGAAACTGAGACCCAATGAGGTAAAGGTGACCTGTTCAAGGACTCAAAGAGTCTAATGACTGAATGAATACTAGAGCCCCAGTCTTTTGGGTGTTATTTTACATATTTTTCTTCAAAATGTAAATCACTACCTAACATTATCTTTGTTATTCATTGACTTACGTATCAACACTCCCTTGCAAACACCCTCAGCTCCTTAGTCTCTAGCACCAGAGTTGTCTATACTTACCTTCTTCACTTCTCTCTATGTTTCCACCTAAATCCATGTCAATCAAGCTTTCAATCCTACTACCTCACTGGGTGTCCTTGTAAAGATCATCAGTGACCCCCACATGGCCTACTCCAGTGGACAGAATGAGTTTTCATCTGTCTTGATTTTTTTTTTTTTTTTTTTTTTTGAGTCTGTGTCTCATTCTGTCTCCCAGGCTGGAGTGCAGTGGCATGATCTCGGCTCACTGCAGCCTCTGCTTCCCAGGCAATTCTTGAACTCAGCCTCCCAAGTAGCTAGGATTACAGGTGTACACCACCACGCCCAGCTAATTTTTGTATTTTTAGTAGAGATGGTTTCACCATGTTCCCAGGCTAGTCTTGAAATCCTGACCTCAAGTGATCTGCCCATGTTAGCCTCCCAAAGCGCTGGTTAACAGCAGCATTTGATGCAAAGGGTCACTTTCTCTTCTTACAGTACTGTCTTCACTTGGTTTCTACGACACTTTCTAAGACACTCTCGGTCTCTTCCTAACTGTTGGGTCCACTTACTATATCTCTAAACATGGAAGTATTTCTAGATTCAATCCTTGACTATCTTTTTATAACAGTAATCATCAGCCCCATCAGACCCAATGCCTACTTTCTACAAGAAGTATTTTTTCAATACAAAAATTAGCTGGGCATGGTAGCATGCACCTGTCATCCCAGCTACTAGGTAGGCTGAGGCAGGAGAATTGCTTGAAGCGGGGAGGCGGAGGTTGCAGTGAGCCAAGATCGCACCATTGCACTCCAGCCTGGGAGACAGAGCAAGATCCCGTCTAAAAAAAAAGTATTTTTTTTTCATGCTGCCTTTAAAGGGGCTTGCCATCTACAGTTATACAAGTGGTAGATGGGGGGCAAATTCTAGGTGCACTCTGTTGCCTAGTCATGCACTCTGGCAGGGGGCTACATCAACCCCAAAGAAGGGGTGCCTTTTCCTAATTCCTCCACTCGAGGGGGCCTCTTTTTCTTATTTGTACAGAGGCAGCTTATATGCTAGCAGCAGTTCTGTTCTGTACTATCAAGTGAAATTCATACAAAATATAGCCTACCTACACATGTAATTTTAAAATAAATATAATGCCTAAACTGTAGCATCAAGCAGACATAAATATAAAATAATTGATAATAAAAATATGCAAATGCTCAAGTACTTCTACACTAGAAAATCTCACAAAGTAGTCAGCTGCTTGAACCTGTAAACAGAGGCATGGATGTTGTCTCGGTGATTCAAGTGCAGCTTGCAGCGTTGTCAATGCTGTTCTAAAATAGTGAAAACTGTCAGTAAAACTCTAAACAAAAACAAGCATAGTCTTCCCTGAATTTACATGATAATTCTATTTTTGAAAAATGCAGTGTGAAGAGCAAAAAAAATTGTTAAAAATTATAAGATAATTATAAATAGGTTTTTCACCTGAAATCCCTGGAATATAAGTAGTATAAGTATTAGCTATTGTTATCTTGTTTAACCCTGTTAATAATATTTAACCCATTTTAAAAATTATTTATTTATTTATTTTTGAGATAGAATTTCACTCACTCTGTCACCCAGGCTGGAGTACAGTGGCGTGATCTCAGCTCACTACAACCTCTGCCTCCTGGGCTCAAGCAATTCTCCTGCCTCAGCCTCCTGAGGAGCTGGCATTACAGGCATGCGTCACTACACTAGGCTAATTTTTGTATTTTTGTAGAGACGGGGTTTCACCATGTTGTCTAGGCTGGTCTCGAACTCCTGACCTCAAGTGATCTGCCTGCCTCAGCTTCCTAAAGTGTTGGGATTATAGGCGTGTGCCATGCACCAGGCCAATTTAACCCATTTTATGATAAGGAAATAGACAACATCCAGTAGACCCTTTGGTAATAGAGATCAATGGTTACCTACCCCAAACAGCCTACTGGTATTAGAATCCCTGATTCTCAGCAGGGCGTAGGGCCACCGGGACTGTAAGAATCCTTTTCCAGCCTCCACTGCAGCCAGTGTGGCCATGTGACCAGGTTCTGGTGAACATGCTATAAGGAAAAGAATTGTGCAGCAACTTGCAGGAAATTTCCTTTAAAGATAGCTGGTGCTTGCCCTTTTTTCCCTCCTTCCTCTATTTAACCCTTCGACTATGTATGTGGTAGTTAGAGCTCCATCTGGGATGATGAAAATGAGGGTCATAGCCTAAGAGGGCAGATCAAAAGCTAAGGGCAGTCAGGGTCTCTGAAGATTTCAAGGAGCAGAGCATCACCCCAGTATTGAACTATTCACCTTTACAGAAGAGGTCAATACACTTTCTTTTTGTTAGACAGTTCTTGTGTTACTACAAAGAAATATCTGAGACTGGGTAATTTATAAGAAAAGATGTTTAATTGGCTCATGGTCCTGCAGGCTGTACAAAAAGCACAGCGCTGGCATCAGCTTCTGGGGAGGCCTCAGGAAGCTTCCAACCATGGCAGAAGGCAAAGGCGGCACAGGACGGGGAGCAAGAGAGAGAGGACAGGGAGGTACCACACACTTTTAAACAACCAGATCTCGCAGGAACTCACTCAATATCATGAGAACAGCATCAAGCCATGAAGGATCTGCCCTTATGACCCAAACACCTCTCACTAAGCCCCATCTCCAACATTGGGGATTACATTTCAACATAAGATTTAGGGGGACAAATATCCAAACTGTATGATTCAACTGGTTTAAGCCATCATTAATTTGGGTCTTTGCTAATCATAGCTGAGCATAATCCCAGCCTAATTACCCTCTATAAATTAT